CAGTGGAGCTTTTAATGTAAATGAAAATCAGGTCTACTGACTTAGAGCTGTTTGTGGGATACGGCACTTTATGAAGTAAAGTAACATAATATTAACATAAACAAAAAATCAAAAAATTCAGATCAGTGGAAAAGAGGCCTAACTCAGAAGGCATGGCAACAGGTCTGTGCACTAAGCCCCAAAGACGCTTCCTGTTAAGGTGACGTCTCTCACCATCTACTTAGTGTTAAGTAATACATATTAAATGAGGCAATATTTTGCTGAATGTCTTGCCTGTTTTCTTGTTCCTTTGGAATTCTGTTGCTCTATTTTAGCAGTTGTGCGATAGCATATTATCATCTCCTTGTTAAAACCCTTAGGTACTTTGAGCTATATATGCTATAGCACACTTTGCTGGGTTTTGGTCTAGGAGTATTTTCAATCTCCTGTTAGTATGAATGGATGCACTATTTTTTGACTACTGAGAGGAAAAGTCATGCTCCCACTTGACCTAAGAGTTCCACATTTGATTTGTTTTGTTAGTCTTGGTGAGAAGAGACTTAGTGAGGAAATTGCAAAGAAACACAGTAAAAGCATAAACCCGCTTGTGAAATCAGCTTCTTTGGTGGGCTAAGAAAGAGCTGGCCAGGAACATTCATTAAAGTTTTTACATGCAACAGCGGAGAGCTGAGGGAGGGCCTAAGAAGAAAGGGAAGTTCTTGTGTAGCCCAATTACAGCAACGGTCCCTTCAAAATGGAGGGATAGTGAAGAATTTTAAAGAGACTGTAACATTTTTAACTGTTTTAATTGTGGCTGAAGCAAGTTTAAACATCTGTTGCTTGTTAGATTATTGTTATTTTTTATTTACTTATTTACTTACTCATTTACTTTTGGGATGGATTGAAGAAAACTCTCTTAGGTTCGCTCTGGTCACTGAGCTGGGACGGAAACAGAGGTTTGTATCTTTCTAAAATGCAAAGCTGTAAAAACTTTGGTTTCGACAAGAGTCACTCACTCTCCTTTTCATTGAAGAAGTCTGCTGACATTTTTACTCCTTTACTTTCTTACAGTTTTCAGGGTGGTAGCCAGGACACCTTACGGCAGCAGGGAACAGGTTGCATCGCTGCACTGCGTCTTTTGTGTGCCCATCGTGAAATGTTGGAGTTTGGATGTGTCTAGAAGAGGGCAAAGGAGTGAAAACTCTTCAAAAAACGGAACAAAACAAAATGTGGAGAGCATGTGCTGCATGTCTTTCATTTTCTTCCGATTACAGTAATCTTTCATGGACTACAAAAGACTTGTTCTGTCTATAGACTGCAAGGCTGAACAGGAGCCAATGCACAAGGTGCCCTGGGATTTAACAGACTGCCCAGCCTGCCAGCGCGGCGGGGAGCAGCTCCCGGCTGCCCGTGCCCTCTCCGCCCGGGCCAAGGGGAGAGGGCAGAGCGGGTGTCACCGCTGGATCCCACACGGCGCTGGGAGGCGTCGCGGGCCCTTCGGAACCTTCCCGGGACCTCCCGTCTCACTGGTCACATCCTCTCACCCGGGGCCGCGTCTGCTCTGCCTGGAAGAAGAACGTAGCTGAGCCTGAGGGGGTTCCCAAATCAGGTCCCTAGAAAGTTGTCAAACTTTTATGTTAAAGAAACAACTTACATAAAAACCTATCAGTAGAACAGTTCCCACTCAGCGTTAACCTTATACGTTTGCTGTAATTTGATTTAGTGAACAAGACGTTAAAATACATTTAGTGAATTATTCATAAATTCTCTTAGGTGTTCTGCAAATATTGTCATCTTGCTTTCTCTTGAGCTTTTTGTAATCAGTTTTGAAGCCTGATGCTTCTGCCAAAAGAAAGATGTTTGCAACATCCTTTGCGAAGAGAAAATATTAATAAAGATTGACATTTTTGTTCCCTTAAATACTTTTCTTGTTACATAAAATTATATGGACCATTCAAGCAGCTGTCTGGATCTTGCTTAATAGTTAATTTTTGGTAACATTTTTTAATCTACTCAAATACTGCAGCCCCTTAACAAATCTGCCTGCTTCTGCAGTCCACTTTAAAATTTTTGACTATGACAAAATCTATGAGAAAAGTTTTCTTTCCTATGCTGTCCCAATGGCCATACTCTTTACTTTCCAGTGGCTGGGCTACTTGTTCCACAAGTCTGTTCTGATATAAGAAAACTGCACCACTTAATACTTTTTTTCTGAAGTGTTCAGTGCTGCAGGAAACTCAATGTATATGGAAACACAAATGAACAGGTAAGTGCCAGGGAGAATTTTTAAATGTAAAATAAGTGGGACTGGATTACTCAGAAAAACAGTAATAGAGCATTTTTCATTAAGTAATTGGATTGGATTAGTATGTTGGAGAACAGTTAACCTTTGATGGTTGCTCAGTGGTATATGTTAAATAGGTTCAGTCTCTATGTAATTGCTGGGTGACAGGTAGCCACATTGCTACAGTCGGGAAAAATCTGCAACGTGGATCTTTCCAAAACTGAACAGGATCAAAGGAGTGACCCTTTCCAATCTGCCATCTTCACATTAGCACTGTCAGCAAAAGAGGAGGCGAGGGATTCGGACATGAATGTTGTGCAAGCTGTGTCTTTTAGTATTATACTGTTAGTATACAACTGTTTAAAAAGGAATAAAAAAAGAATTCACAAATTCTTGAGCTCAACAAACAGTCTCAACAAGGGAGGCTATTTTTAAGGCACCTCCCTCATAACCTGCCAAAAAAAGGTTAAAATGTAACATTAAAGAAGTCAACAGAAAAGGAGAAAAATGACCCACCTCCACAAGATTGTTTTGTTTAATGTATACCATACGTTTGACCAGTGCACACAACCAGTGCAAAGCCCAGCTTTGCGCTGTATCTTGCCCTGGCTGAGGCAATTTCAGTCCCTGACAATATAGCCAGGACCTGCGTTTGCTTGTTAAATAGAAACTCCCCGGGATGGGCCCCCTCCTGCGTGACCTGTGGCAAATCCCGTGCCTTCTCCCCGTCATGTTCCTCGCACACGGAACGAACTAAGGACGCGTTAAGGGCTCGTACAACACGAGCACGGGAGCAGCGCTGGCAGTGCGGTAACACGCACTGAAGCTTGGGCTCCTGCAGGATCTTGCACACCAAATTTTGGCAGGTGCTATTTGATTCTCTCCATCAGTAACTTTTACGAACAGTTTCACACCCTCTCACAAGCATTTCATGGAGATAACAGAACACTGTAAAGCAATAAAACAAGACATGGTAACAGGCACACATCACACCTAGAACAAACAAGTTAAAAAATAGAGCAGTGAAAAACTCACCTCTACTCCAAATCTAAAATCAGCTCCTGATTCTCTGCTCCTCTCCTACATCGTTCTGTATCGTTGGCATTTGTGGCTACATACCACATATTTAAAAAACTCCAGAGACTCTCTCTTTGAATTGTTACAATAAAAGGAAACTACTTTCCTCGGAGTCTTTCTTCCAGTTTCTCCAGTTTTAGAGGGAAATCAGAAGAAAACAAGTTAAGCACTTCCTTATTTAATAAGATGATGGAGCCAGATCCTAACGAGCAGGACCAGTTGCTAAGTCACAGTGTCAGTAGAGAGCAGCCTCTGGAATTGCTGTCCAACTTCCATATTTCTAAATTTCAATTAGGGTCACCATAAAGCACTTTCAGACAGTCATACACCCCAAAACACAATTCCTACAAACATAAACAATAAATAGTGATGTTAAAGCTCAGAAGATAGGCCTACCTCACCTCGGTGTTATTTAGCATCTGACCATGACGCCCAGGAACCACAACCACTCACCTGGAGCTACATGTTTAAGAGCTGAGTCAACCTTTCCTCATGAAAAACTACATGAGGCTTCCACCTCATCACCTACTTGTCACAGCACTCCCCAAAGCAGTGGGAACTTTCTTCAAGGCCTTAATATTCCTGAATTTTACAAGAACTCTCGCAGTCAAGTGCTCTTGCTCTCATGAACTATCAGGTTAGATATTGTAGGATAATTCTCTTAAAGTTCTCCTACTTTGCATACACAAATTACTCTTGAACTAACTTTCCATATCCCAAGGAAATATCCAAAAGTATTCCAGAGCAGACAAAGGATAAACACTTCAGCAAGAATGTAACGTTTTAGGTGGAGGCTTTAAAACATGTGTCAAACACAACATGAAGTCACTGCCAATTTTTTTCTCCAATATTTGCACAGAACATAAGTAAGATGGTTTTTGGTGTATCCAGTGTTCATAATATCTAGAAGAAATTTAAGTTATCTACCAGAACCATGTAAAACAATGCTGAAGATGTGACATAAAACACACTTAATGCAATAGGAGAAACTCAACATATGTTTTTCAACACTTACCTACAATGATGTGCTAGTATGAAAAAAAATCCATTCAGAGAATTGTGGTTCAGAGATCACATTTCCTTTCCATTTATAACAATCACATTCTTTAATTATCCTTCAACTATCAGGAATTTAAAAATAATGGAGTACTTCTACCACATTAACTAAAATTTAGAGCCCATTACGCCATTTTGTCAAACCATACTCAAAAATACTTTGTGGGAATGTGTTATGCAAAATAACACAAAGCAACAGCATTTATAATTCTCTTTAGGGATCTGATGAATAAGTGATTCTATACACGGTGTATATTAAGCATGTAAGTACTCTTTGATATTGATAGGCAGCCGAACTACTTATATCATTTAAGTTATTCATGTGCATAACTCCCTTGCTGAAGAAAAGCTATTTTGATTTCAAATCCACACAGCAGGAGGAGCAAATCATCAGTAGAATGGTTTATTTAAATATTCCACACATCTACAGCATTTTTTACCAAAGAATATCAGAACAAGACATAAAACCTTGGCAACTGTGTTAGCAAAGATATCTTAATATGAAATAAAATAAGATTTCCCCAAAAGTGTTAATTATAATTTGGAGGGAAAATAAATTTGGCTTTTTCGGCGTTCCGCGGTCTATTGCGCTGCCTCAAGCCATATGTTCCTGCGGCGTTTTACTGACTCGGGGCCCGTTGTCAGCACGGAGCAAATGCTCCGAGGCAGCTGCTGTGTAACTAAGGCTGAGGGAGCAAAGGAGCGAGTCAGCCCAAAAGAGCTACCGAGGGTAGATCAGATCTCAACTGCAAGCAACAAATGAAAGGTGGTGAAGATCATAAAAGACGACTTTCACCATATTACTTTTTCTAGTGATCAACCAAGTTTGGAACAAATTGCCTGGAACAGGATGCCTACCTATATGTATGCTTTCTAAGCTCTTCAGGTGTACAAAGAATCAGTGACTGCCTCTGTAAAAATGCCTTCAACAATTACACGCAGTTATTGGTGACATAAAGGCAAGCCAGTTACTAGGTGAACAGAAAATGCCTCTTTCTAAGATGAGCAGTTCTTTTATTCGTAAACTTAGAGCTCTAGGTATTTGCGGTTTGCCACAGCTAAAGTAGTTACTGTTACATATCTGGATAAAACCAGCAGAATACAAGTCTGCTAGCAGAAGGTCCAGGCCAGAAGCCCGCATCACTGCTCAGAATGATACACATCTCATGTGAGCTGCAAGAATGGGTCACAGGACATAAATATTTTTAGTTTTATTTTGCCTTCTTTTCATCTTGTTTTTCAACAGTGGGAAGTATTGGATTTCTTTTTTTTTTTTTTTTGTAATTTTTACTATTCACTTTTATTTGCCAACTATTACTTGATTTTATGTACTTCACTTTAAGCACACAATGGTAAACCTTACTGCTGACCAGAAAAGGATATTTTCATGTTATTTTACCTGCATAAGAATGAAAATGTCTCAAGAGCTTACAAAAGACTGAAAAAAGAAACAGTCAATTTCTCAGTTAAGTTATACCATACCTACAGAGGACGCAGCTACATTTTTTAGTTAAAACATTTAACCGTTTCACTCATTTCCTACAAGACGCTTTTAGCACAATTTCTACTGCACCAATAACCTAATGTTCCTTGAAAACACTGTTAGGTGTTTCAGTCATAGATTATTTTTCCCATCAGTTAATTTCCCAGGTGAATTTCATTTGTGTAATTTGATTCCAATTTGTACATATCTTCTTTCTTCAATTAAAAGCAAAACTTTTCATTTCAAACATACGATTGGCGTATTTACTGCATAATTGCAAACTCCCAGTGTGGTTTCAGATGTTACGGGCCTGCACAGAAATGATGGATTAACCTGTTCTTTACTTGCTTTGAGCAAAAATGTTGCCTCAGGCCTTCTTTACCTAATCCAAAAAGGTGCAAAATTGTTCTCACACTATTTCTGAATTCGCTTTTACCCCACTTCAGATGTTTAAGTATGTATTTATTGTATTGGATGCAGTAACCAAATGATTACATTATTTCAACAGATAATGTAACATGGAGAGAAGACGAAGCAACTTTTTTACTATTGAAATTTTAGTTTATTGAAATTTTAGCCATTCTGGTTTATATCTCTTTACTATAAACACAACTATTATAAAGATGTAAAAAACACCATCATAGTTTTCTTAACTCATACTAAGAACCAGCATAAATTGATAATAGTATCAAATATATTCTTCCTTCTGTGTCATTGCCTAAGAAAACATAAAACAAGATGACAGATAGCACTAACAGGCTCAATCTAACCAAGGCTCCAGTAATCTTGCATACGGAAAAGCTTCCGGATGAGCTAAGAGGTGCCATCAGCACAGGACAGAGTACTGGTATCTGATCATCATCAGAGACCCCAGAGGTACCTTACAGACCAAAACTTCCTCTCTGACATCCAATCAGCTACTGTGTTTGGCATTTCTTCCTACCTCACTTGAGGAAGAGATTGTACCTACAGGACATGGTGTTTTCCATGTGATTCCTGGAGCTAATACAAAGGGGAAAAAGGTGGCTTGTTACCACTAGACTGTTTCTACATTGAACATTTGAAAGGTAGAAGAGCATTTTATACTTGAGAAGTTTGTTCTAAAAAATACACGTTTGGTGATACACATTAAGTCTTGTCCTGCACAAACTTCCTGTGTGATCTCTGGTAATTCAGTTAAATCACACAACTACAGAACGGGGCTTCCTAATCCCATAAATGTGCTTAGGAGTAGATAGAGGCACCACAGACTGCTGCAGCAGGAAGAAGTTTCTCTTCTGGGTTTTCTACCCAGAATGTCAGGAAGGGGAAAACAGGTCTGGAAGGAGCATGAGCGCGTGCAGAGACCTGGGGCCAACTTACCCCAGGCCACATGCATACTGTTTTAATGTTAGCAATATTATGTTTTTATTTTTTATTTTATGTTTTTATTTTATTTTAGTTTTCTGTGACAGACAGATGCCAGTAAAGCAGCCCAGCTGAAACACCACAGGTTTCCTCCTGTGGTGACTTTTAGGTGAGGCCGGCTCAGCCAAGCCGCCGTGGGTGCTCTGCTTAGGTTCCTCTTAGCACAACTAATAGGAGCATGAAAAGCTGTAAATAGCCTAGGTTTGCAGAAATATCAAGGATTTAAAAAAAAAAAAAAAAAAAAAAGCCTTTGGTCATTTGCGGACAACCCCCG